TAGTAATAATCATATGCTAATACTAAAGACATTTTTTTCTTCTGTTTAAAGACCTTGTTTTTGTAAATCCCTATTCACAGTCTTATTTTGAGCATGTGAACTAATTGTATTTACTCCCATGCATCAAAGGTGCGTCTTACTGTTCTGATAGGACCAAAGGTATTCCCTATAAAGCCAAAATAGTTATATTCCAGATTACGACTGAATAGTTCCTAGTAGTTTCAAATAATATACTTAGAAATCTTTTCAAGAGCAGATACTTTTCAGAAGGTGCAGAACATACTAGAAAGATAAATATTTAAAAATCTGTGAGTTGTTTTTACAGATTGTGGTATACTAACATCTGATCATTTGTATGGAGAGTGTTATTAATCAGCAGTAAAATAAGACACTTGATTATTCTTTCTATTGCATATAAAGTGACTAGATGATACACAGTATATCTGGTTGACCCTTTTGAAAATGAAAAGAATCTATACGATTGATCTGTCAGCAGAAAATGATTTTTGGAAAGCATGCCCCCCTTCTGTGTGGTTGTTAGAAAGAACATGGTTGGTATAAACAGTCATTATTCTCAGTGGGGGAAAAAAAAATTCCTGTCACATTTTTGTGGAAATCTTTGCCTGAAAACCTACAGTCAGAAATCAGTCTTTGTTCATACCAGTTCAACGCTGAAAAATGAAGCAAAGTGATGTAAATCGAATTTACAAGACTGATAACCATGCAGTTGCAGGGAGAGTAGCTACTGCACAACCTGTACTCTGTCAAGGTAATTTAATTATGGATGGTTATACTTGACTATAATTTGTTAATGTGTGCTCCTTGCAAAGGGAGAATAAGTCTCACAAAGCATTGACAATTTTATACTTTTTTACCAGGAAGCTGTCAAAGGAAAGGGATTTTCATTGAATTTCCTAATATACAGTCACCTGGCGGAGGAATATCAATGAAGTGGCTAGCAGGGTGGTTTTTTCTTGCCTTTTTTTTTTTTTTTTTTTTGCTTTTTGGGTGAAATCGTAGACATTTACAAATGCCATTTGGAGGAGGCAGTAGTGACATAGAACTATACTTAATAGATGGTACACTTATTATAACTTACAGTTATATTTGTTAGGGTGGTATTTGTTGCTTCAACGTATGTCTACTGCAGCACGTGGACTA